CCAGGTGAGGAAGAGCTAACCCAGCTGTTAAGAGCACTTGCTGCTCTTGCAGAAGACCAGAGTTCTGTTATCAGCACACTCAGCTCAGGAAGCTCACAACTACCTGTAATTCCAGCTCCAGGGGATCAAAATTAAGTCTTATTTTACATAAGTTTCCTTGGTCAGTAACTGGATACATAGACCAATGAAATGGAATAGAAGCCCAGAAATAAACACTCAACATGTGTGGTCAGGTTTTGTTGTTGTTGTTGTTTTGTTTTTGTTTTTTTTTGTTTTGACAAGAGTATCAAGACTACTCAGTGGGGGAAGGATTACCTTTTCAATTAATAGTGTTGGGAGAACTGAATATCCACCTGCATGCTACTGAACGTAGGTCCTTGCTGTATACCATATTAAAAAAAAAAAAACCTCAAAATTTTAAAAACCCAATCTTAAGAACTCAAACTGTATAGTTCTTAAAAAGAAAGCATAGAAAATCTCATGACATTGGATTTGGCTTCATTTCCATGAGTGTGACAATTAAAATCCAGACAATAGGGGGCTGGAGAGATGGCTCAGTTGTTAAGAGCACTGACTGCTCTTCCAGAGGTCCTGAGTTCAAATCCCAGCAACCACATGGTGGCTTACAACCATCCGTAATGAGATTGGATGCCCTCTTCTGGTGTGTCTGAAGACAGCTACAGTGTACTCATCAATAAAATAAATAAATAAATATTTAAAAAAAAATCCAGACAATAAAAGATAAAAGGTAAATGGACCATACCGAGATGATCAAAAGCTGTACAGCCATCAATAGAATAATATACCTTAGTGGAGAAATGACAGTATTTGATTAAGAATTTAAGTCCAAAACATACAAAGCCTTCTTGTAACTCAACAACAACTACAATAAAATTTTAAAAACTAAATAAACCAACTTAGGGGCTGAGGGGCTGGAGAAATGGCTGAGTGGTTGAAAGTGTACTCTCTTACAGAGGACACAAGTTTAGTTCCCAGCATCCTATGAGCATTCACAATTGCTGATAACTCCAGCTCCACGAGAGCCAGTATTCTCGTCTAGACTAGACTCCAGTGACCTGCACTCATACATGTGCAATTAAAGGAAAATCTTTAAAAGAAACAAGTTAATTTTAGAATATGTAAAACTTAAATGGACATTTCTCTAGAAATGGTAAGGTATACAAGTGAAAACCCAGCACATGAGAAGAATCATGACATAGTCTTACTAGACAAAAACTAAAAAAAAAAAATAAGAAAAAAACCTCTAATGAGATACCACTAGGTCAAGTGAACTGAGTCGTGTACCCCAGAATCCGGGTATTGAATCCCTAACCTCTCATGTGAGTGTGTTTGGTGACAGGGCCTTTAAGGAGGTAATAAATGAAGCCATGAAAGCAGAATCCTGTTGTAAAAATGCATTTTCTCTACAAGAAGGTTTATAAGAAGACATAGGGACATCAGGCATATTTCTTTGTGCCTCAACAGAAGACAGGACATAACAAGATGGTGGTCACATGCAAGTCAGGAGAAGGTTCACCAGAAGTCAACTCTGGTTGATTGGGAGATAGGAAGATGCTGAGCATCAAGCCCCAGGGCCCTGTGCATACTAGGCAATTGTTCTGCTAGTGAGTTCTCATCCCACCATTGGTTCTGAGACAAGGATTCATGATGAAGCCTAGGCCAATCTAGGACATACTATATAGAACATGCTGGCCTCAAACGTGTGACCTGTTTTCCCTCTATCTCCTGTGTGCTAGGATTACAGATGTGAGCCACCCACCACACGGAGTGTCCTAGTTTGTTTCTCTGTTGTGGTGATAAAACATTGGCCAAGACCAACTCAGCAGAGGAAGAATTTATTTCATCTTACAACTCCCAGGTCACAGTTCATCACCTAGTGACATCAGGACATTTCAAGGCAGGAATTGAAACAGAAACCATAAAGGATCTCCACTTACTGGCTTATTCCCTGGGGGCTGGTCTCTCCTACATCAATCATTAATGAATAGAATATTCACACAAACTTGCTCATAGATAGGCCCTGGTGGAGGTAACTCCTCAGCTCCTCCCTCTTCCCACATTACTCTAGTGTGTGTCAAGTTGACAGAAAAGAACCAGACTACTTTTTCTGATGGCCATTTTGTTCTTCAGCATCTAGCCTCTAGAATTTAAGGAAATATATTTCTGTGGCCAATCCCTTCTGTTCTCTCTTGTTATAGTCCAAGGTGATTATAGAAGTATGAAAATTTCTAAAAATGTTGGTGAGGATGCAGACAAATTGGAATCTTCTTGCATTGCTAGTGGAGATATAAAATGCTGAATTCAGCATTTTTCTCAAAATGTTAAGATATAGAATTACTGTATGGCCTAGCTATACTACTCCTAGATGTCTACCCAGAGGTGTTCTGTATGTATATACATGCCCATGTGTATCTGGGTATACATGTGTACATGTTTGTGTGCGCGGGTAGGTGTTCATAAGTGTGGTCCATTCATGTCGTGGTCAGGACAGCTTTAGTTGTTAATCCTTAGGGACTGTCTGTCTTTTTTCAAGACAGGCTCTGTCACTAGCTTTGAGCTTCTATAGAACACACCAGGCTGGTTCCCTTGTAAGCCCCAAAGATCTGTCTTCATCCATCACTCTCACCACTGGGATTACAAGCATGTGCTATGGCTTGATTTTTTTTTTAAATGTGGTTTTGGGGATTGAGTTAACACTCTCATGCTTCTCAGCAAGCACCTTGCCAAAAGGCTTTCTGTTCAGCCCTTTCTAGAAGTCCCAGAAACATTTTTTTCATGATGTTGTCCTGATAGAAGTAACATGGAAATAACTTTGGGGGTAGGAAGGGGAGTAAAAGTTCCTGGTTAATAGGTAAGTGTTGGACATGCTAATACAGTATAGGGTAGGATAGTGTGGGGATTGTATACCATTGTATATGCAATGCCAATGAATTATAAATTTCCAAATAGTGTTTAACTTGGCCATCTACATTATACATGTTTTAACATAAGCACAAAAAAGGCCATTAGAAAGGTCTTTATGTGTCAATGGGAAAAAAATCTTTAGGTATTAGCTTCTGACAAATTCAAAGTTTGTAAAATCTCAATTTTGCTTGAAAACTCAAGCTTTATCATTGACAACACTCAATAATGTTTCTTGATGTTAATGACCAGTCAAGGCAACATCTCACAAATGATGAAGCCTGAAGAATATCATCACTGTTCACTTTAATAAGACAGTGCTGTGGCAGGTAAGATAGCTCAGCAAATAAAGGAACTTGCCACTAGCCCTAATGACCAGAGTGTTATCTCTAGGACCCACTTAGTGAAAAGAAAGAACGACTTGTGGACATTGTCCTCTGACCTCTCGCTGTGAACTTCAGCATGCACATGGAAGCACACATACACACATAAATACATAAATATTTTTAAAAACAGTGTTCCATGAGAAAGCTGATGATTTACCTCTTAGCTTAAACACTAGTACTTTACCAAAAGACATCTGTTTTTTAATAGAGCACAAAAGCATTGTTTCTATTTCATTTCTTTAGATTGTGATTAAAAACAAAAGCAAAACATGAAAGTTCACTGTCTTAACGCATGCTAAAGGACACAGGTCGGTATGTGCCCCCATGTAAGCAGGCATAAAGGGCAGAGGTCGGAATTGATTTCCTTCCTCTGTGACTCTCCACCTTTCCTGGTTTTGGCATGATCTTCCACAGACCTGGAGGTCATCATTTTGGCCATGTTGTCTGGCCAGCAAGCACCCAGGATTTGCCTGGTTTCCCAATCCCCGAAGTTCTGGGATTGTGGATGTATGAGCTATACTGCCTGAGCTGTTTCTCCGGCCCATCCTGTTTTTATCATGCAGATGATGAAGGTTTCAGGACATTCCCACTATGCAAATCTGAACCTCCTGTGCCTTTGTCAGACAGAAAAGATGAATTCTCTATGGCTGTGATTTTACATTTTTCCACTTAATCAAAAACATCCAAAAGTGAAGGTATTTTTTTTTTCTCATTGCAAGCACACAGTAGGAAAGAATACAGCGGTCATTAATAAACTTTGAGCATAGCCTTAGCTTATGTCAACAAATACATCATTACTTTTTCTCCTTTTTGGAAACAGTTTGGGTTTGCTGGCTTTGGGAAGGTTTCCCTGTACCCACAGAGGCCTGCACTTTGAAAACTACTGATATAGTTCACTGTCTTAGGAAGGTCTTGGTGGTAAGGTAGAGATGGAGGACCTGTGACTCCAAGTGGAAGAAGAAGGCCTAAACTTGATCAGTGGTGGGTTCACATGAAAACAAGGAGCCAGGCAGCAGCCACTCCAGAGGGGAGACTGGTTTAGGCAGTTGGAGGTGTGACTTTAAGAAGGTGAGCTTGTTGTTTTCACCATGTCGGATGTTCTCTCCCATTTCCATCTTCCGCTTTAATCTAGTTAGTTAAGGTCAGGTTTTCCAGTATTATAATGCCAACAAAAACCTAATCTCAGCTAAACTGGTGATTAACCTGGGAGAGTAAATTAGCTGTTTGATTTTCTTCTTATCTTTTTGGAGTGTAGTGAATTTGTGACACTGTTCTGAGTGATCCTGTGTGTGACCTATATATGATTCCTCTGTCCATTTGTGGCAATAGTTAAGGCTAGTATTGCACTACTCAGGCAGTCAGTAATAGAAGAACAGTACAGATTCCTTTATGTTCTTGGGGTTTCCTTCTCCTTTCCACATGTGTGTTTGTGTACACGGGCACATAAAAGATGGAAATTTATGTTGAGACTCTTGCTCAGTTACTCTCTACCCTGCTCATTAAGGCAGAGTGTTTTTGGTCAAACCTCTGATGTGGCCATATCACTGATATGGCTGATACTGCTAAGCTGCTAGACAGGATCTTCTGTGTCCACCTCTGAAGCTGAAAGCACAGGCAGCTTCCATGTCCACCCAGCATTCACATGAGTTCTCCTGAAGAGAGTCCAGCCCTCTTGTTTTGGGTGAACCACTGATGCTTCATTTTGAAGGCCTTTTCCTCTCCTCAAATAGCAGTTCAAATGCTTCATCTTCAGAAGGTGTACCACTCACAGGAAGCTGCAGCTACACACCTCATTCGTTCCCAAAGTTCCAGCATCCTTCTTATGAACTGCTGAAGGAAAACGGCTTCACCCAACACATGTACCACAAGTATCGCCGAAAGTGCCTAAGTGGTAAGATGCCTGTCCTGTGCCTAGCTGTATTGCTGTTACAGGAGATTCTAAAAATTAAATTGTAGTTTAAACACACTAGTAAATGATTTTAGTATATTCTTGTTACCATTGACAAGTATTTATAACTTGAACAGTGTGTCATAGATTTAATGTCCTCTATTTGGGAGAATCTTAGTTACAGTTTTAGTGGGTTTTTTGTTTGTTGGTTTTGTTTTCATTGTGAGTTATATAAAATGCTTACTATCTTGGCATTTAAAGGCATGTTTAATTTTAAGATGTTTTATTAACTCTTTCCAGAGAGAAAACGCTTGGGAATTGGACAGTCACAGGAAATGAATACCCTCTTTCGTTTCTGGTCCTTCTTCCTCAGAGACAACTTTGATAGGAAAATGTATGAGGAATTTAGACAACTTGCTTGGGAAGATGCAAAAGAGAATTACAGGTCAAACGTTTCCTAGTGCTTTTTTAAAAAAAAAAAAATCACAATTTCAAGTAGTCTGGTTTTGAGCTGTGAAAATAACCACAATGTAACTGGAATGAGGATTGTATTTGTTTTCTGTTGCTAAATAATAAACAACTCCTAAACTCAAACATTTGTTAACTCCTAAAGGAGGGGCTCTGGGACCCATCTTACCAGATAACTCCAACCTGAGGCCCCTCGTAAGGTTTCATTCAAGGTATTTCCAGGGCTGGCCTTTCTGCAGGGTCTTCTCAGATTTCTCCCCTTGGCTATTGACAGGGTATCATTTCCTGGCTGCCTCTCCATAGAGTATTTTTCAGTGTAGCTGCTCACAGAGCAGTGATCTAAGAAAGGAATAGCAACTTCTAAGAAGCCTCAGTATCTTGAATAACCTTTCCTTAGCAATGACAGATCTCTTCTACTATGTGGTATTGTTAATACAGACTGGCCCAGGTACAGGAAAGAGACCTACATGAGATTGTGGATAACAAAAGATAGGCTCAGTAGGGATTCAGTTTAGCTCTGAGTTGAATGTTCTCTCCTGCCTAGAGAAATGTCTCAGCAAAGAACATTTCCGTTCCCAGCACTCACATCAAGTGGCTCGCACATGTAACTCCAATCCTAGAGGATCCGATGCGCTCTGGCCTCCAAGGGAGCTTAAACAAACAGGGTGTACATACAGCCAAGCAGGCACACATATACACACATCTAAATTTTAAAAATGTTAAAACCATTCTCTCTTATGTCCCCCATCATTGGGGACTTCCCTGCACATGTGTGCATAGTCCTAGATTAATACATGCTGAGAGCCAATGCAGATTTAAGATTTCTTGAGATGAGGGAAAGCAAGACTTCTCATGCTGTATGTCTTATCCATTCTCAGTCTGTTCCTCTGTCCTTGGTGACTCTGCCCCTGAGTAGTGGAGTCCCTTTTGTTTTTGATCCACGGTCATATACTTGTCTTAGGTACTCTAGGTGGTTATAAGAAGATACAGGGAAATGCTTCTTTGATTTGTAAAGTGAGTTTATAGTACTCTTGTCAATAGACCTTCTAGGAATGTACTCTATAACCATCAGGAGCCATCCAGTTAAGTTTATACCATTAAAAATGTGGACTTTCCCAGGTGGATGATTGTATTCAAGAAACAACCACACCATTTAAACTTTGCTTTAAGAAAAATGTAAAACACTTCCAATGTTCCTGAATCTTTTCACTACTTCTTAGGAAATAACACTGTCCTGCATTCATTAGCTTGTCAGTTAGAAATTTGTGTACCATTCCAGCATTCATGAAGCTGTGACAGAAGGATGGCAAGTTCAGGACCAGTTAAGACTGCATAGTGAGTTCTAGGGTAGCCTTGGGTATAGAGTGAGACACTGTTTCAGAAAACAAGACAAAGACATAGTTACTGAACCGACCTTTTGTTACGGTGTGTATTGTGTTTGCTTGTACAATACCTAACTACGAGGTGCTTGCAAAGCCACAATTTTATGCCTTTCTTTTCTTTCCATAGGTATGGGTTAGAATGTCTGTTCAGGTTTTATAGTTATGGACTGGAAAAAAAATTCAGACAAGAAATTTTTAAGGATTTTCAAGAAGAAACCAAAAAAGACTACGAATCTGGTAAAACAAACACTCTGTTTGAAAGTTGTAGACTTGAATCGGTCAATAAATAAGAAAGGGAAGCTAGCAAGCTGACTCGTGGGTAAAGGCACTTGCTGTTAAACCTGGCAACCTCCCTGTAACCCCATACAGTGCAAGGGAAGAGCCTGCTCTGAAAAGACTCTTTCCACATGTGCATCTTCACCTGCATATACTTGCATGTCCACACATGTGTGCACATACACATAGATATGCACATCCACACACATAGAGAGATGCACACATAAACACACATGTAATTTTAAGAAGAAAGGAATTTGCAGATTTTTGTCTTTGGGACAAATCATTTAAGATAGCCCACTGTCATAGTTCCTGATGAGGGTGGGGCACCACGCAGTGAGAAGGCTCCTCCTGTGTGGTGCCTTTACCTTACAGAGGTATGTGTCAGCATTAACTTCTCAACAAACATGGCTGCTCATTGGTGTTCCTTCTCATGAGCTTAATAAGGTATGCTTGGCAAGGCAAAAGTATACCACGAGGGGTGTAGGCTGTGGTCCAGATCACTAGGTCTGAGTCCCTTTCTCTTTCTCAGTAGCCATGTGACTTAGGCCAGTTCTCTACCTTGCCAGCTCCAGTGTTCCCATCTGCAATGTAGACAGGAGGAACTACCCCACCAGGATGGTTACATGTGGTTCAGATTAGCTTGATATTTGATAAAAACTTAAGTAGTGCCTGTTATAGAACATGATCAGTAGATATTAACTGCCGCCATTGCTTATTGATTGTGTGTGGCTTATTGCTGGTAAGATCATGCACATCAATGTTTGTTAGTTTCATATAACATATATTCTTTTGTTATTAAGGCCAACTATATGGACTGGAAAAATTTTGGGCCTATCTGAAATATTCTCAATCTAAGAGCCAGTCTGTTGACCCAAAACTTCAGGAATACCTCTGCAGTTTTAAGAAGTTAGAAGATTTCCGTGTTGATGTAAGCTTTAATTTCTTTTCTCTATTGTTTTTATCACTTGTATTATTTTATAACTTAACAGATTTTCATAATGTTAGTCTTAAATTTGGGGGTGTTAATTTTGAACTTTTAACTTTTGACATCAAACTTTGAAAACAGGCACAAAAATAGATAAGAAAATTACCATATATTTTCTTCATTTAGATTCCAAAAAATTGGGGCATGGAGAGATAGCCCAGTTGGTAAAGAACTTGCCAAACCTACATCAGCTCTCCCTAACATCCACGTGAAAGCTGAGCACAGTCGGGTGTGCGTCTGTAACCCTGACACTGGAGAGAGAGTGGGAGCAGAGACAGGTGCATTCCTGATGCTCAGTGGCCAGCCAGCCTGCCCAAAGCCTTAGTACCCAGGTTTAGTGAGTCTCAAAGATAGAGTGGAGGCTTGACAGAGGAAGACACCTGACATCAGCTTCCAGTCTCCACATGAACTCCCACACACATACGGGATTTCCCAAAGGAGAACATCTCACATAACGGTACAGTTGTCAGTGCATTTGAACTTTGATGCACAGTCATATTTAGATGGCTTTTAGACGGATGAGATGCACTAGGAGTGTGAAACTTTTTTCACTCAGTTTTGCCCAGTTTAGCTTTGGATTGTTTTCTATGCTAAGAATTGAGCGAGCCCTTATACATGCTGAGCAAGTAGTCACTACTAAGCTCACTCAAACTTTTACCTTTTCTTTCAAAGAGTATTTTATTTGAGCATGTGTGTATGTATGTATGGAATCAAGCCACAGAATCTGGAAGAGGGCTCTGGATCTCCAGAGGATGTGAGCCACCTGATGTGGGTGCTAAGAATCTCAACTCTGGTCCTCTGCAAGAATAGCCAGTTCTCTTAACTGCTGGAAAGAGAGTCATCTCTCCAGCTTCTTCTCCTCCTCCTCTTCCTCCTCCTCTTCCTCCTCCTCTTCCTCCTCCTCCTCCTCCTCCTCCTCCTCCTCCTCCTCCTCCTCTTCTTCTTCTTCTTCTTCTTCTTCTTCTTCTTCTTCTTCTTCTTCTTCTTCTTCCCCTTCCCCTTCTTCTCCTTCTTCTTCAACCTTCTCTTCCTCATCTTCTTTTCTTCTTCTTCCTCCTTCTCCTTTTCCTCTTCCCTCTCCTCCCCCTCCTCCCTGTCCTCTTCTTCTTCCTCCTCTTCTTTTTTTGTTGTTGTTTTGTTTTTGTTTTCCAATTCAGGGTGTTCTCTGTTCCCCCAGTCCTAGAACTTGTTCTCTGCAGGCCAGGTTGGCCTTGAACTCACAGATATTCACTTGCCTCTCGAGTGCTGGGATTAAAACATGAGCACTGTTTGGTAGCAACTTTATACTTTTTAATGTGCTTTTATCCATATAATTTTTTACATATTGTGTGCTGAGATATGCATTTAGAGGATCTTCATAATAAGATTCCTGTCAGGGCTAAGCCTAGTGTGCATGTTGCTTTGGATTGGATGGGTCCCTGGCATCAAAAATTAATGCAGGCTATTAATTGATCGGTACTTTAATTAGTTTGATTTCAAATGGAAAAGAAAAGGTTAAAGCAAGAAAATGACTACAAAGAAGGAAAGTAGGGGGAGGGGAACCCTAAAAAGTAGGAAAGATGTTATGCTTGCCTTGATGTAAGCCACAAACATATACCCTCATTTCTAAATACAGCAGAGGTCAGGGGAAGATGGTTGCTTTAATTTATTTTTCAGATTAAAGAATATTAATCTAATTATATACATATGGTTATATCTATAACTGCATAGCTGAAACAGACCCCAAAGCAGACATTTTAAATGTCCTCATTCTTGCTTGCATTATAAATGGATTTAACTTTTGTATCCTCAATAATACTGTTAGTCCCTCTAGCATAGGAATCCTGGGTGAAATGCCACACTGGCTGGGGGCTGTTTGACCTGGCACCTTTTTCCCCTTTCTGGTTTCATTCAGCCATTGGATACTGGAGAAGTCTACAACAGGAGCGTGGTGGTGAGGAAGGGACTAGAACTGAAACGCATCCAAGAAGCTAAAGGAAGGCCAATGAAGAAATGGCCTCACTCAAACATTTTCCTAGAGGAAGGGCACCACCTCTGTACTTACACCCTGATCAGCGCCTGGCCATAGACATAGGAGCCGCAATCCCAGCACTTGGGAGGCAGAGACAGGCGGATTTCTGAGTTTGAGGCCAGCCTGGTCTACAGAGTGAGTTCCAGGACAGCCAGGGCTATACAGAGAAACCCTGTCTCAAAAACCAAAAAAAAAAAAAAGACATAGGAGCCACTTCTCAAGTTTGTGTTGACTGAACAAGCTAGTCACAGTGTGCCAAGGAGATGTAAATGTAGCCTTGTGAGTTGCTGTAAAATGTATTGTGCTGCTAAAGTCTCTAAAAAGTCTAAGCACCAACACCAATGCCATGATTAGAAGTCAGGCTTCAACTCAGAGAGGAGTAGTGAAAATGTCTCCTCTGCTCTCTTTCATGCCTTGCAGCCCCCTACTAGTGAGGAATTTGGAAGAAAAAGACATTCATCTACTTCTGGGGAGGAGAGTATCCACCATACACTTCGGTCTCACCCTTTGACACCACCTCCAAGTGCTGCTGAGCCTGCATCTGCCAGGAAACTTCAGTCCCAACAAGTATGCCCAGGAAAAATCCACAGGAGCCCAGTGACAACTCACAGTGACAGTGCTGCTGTGGCTTCTAGGGGTGAAGTACCAAGGAAGTAGATGCTGACACAAAAGTCGTGTGTTCTTGAAATCAGCGTTGGCTTCAATGTCTGTGTGGGTAGATCTTCTGATGTTTAATTGTGATAATCAGAAAAACAGAAAGGAAGAAAAGTTGTAGTCTTTTTCTTTTTCTAGCAAGATGAATTCCACGTTTTCCCTGATTCCACAAACAAGGTCTGTTTGCCCTTAGGAGATTGTGGGATCTTTGCCATCAGGTTTTCTTTACTGTTTATAAGAACAAAATTCCTTTATTATGTTTAAACACACACACACACACACACACGGAATACCTGACATTTCAGCTCATCCCTCTTACAGGAGATCCAGTGTGTTGTATTCATCTCTTCTGTAGAACTCTCAGAGAGTCAGTCGTCTCCCTGTCAATCCATGTTTGAACATGTCAAAAAGCAAGAGAGGATTATGTAGATAGGTTTTAAATTCAGAAATGGATAGGAAACATACATTTTTTACTTGTATATACATAATTTGAAGGAAAGTATCTCTCTCTCTCTCTCTCTCTCTCTCTCTCTCTCTCTCTCTCACACACACACACACACACACACACACACACACACACACACACACACAAAAAAACAAACACACACACAAACACACACAAAAAAAAAGGAATGCACAGACTAGCTGTCCTGAGGCCCATGGCTCTGCATGCAGGCTTCCCCAGGTCAGATGCAGTTCCTCAGCTGTGGTGCAGATGTGGGACTTTCTGAACTGGCATGAGCTGGGTATGCATATTCAGACAGATTGATTTCTGTGATTCTACAGAAACTTGCATATGGAATTGAAAACTGGGTTTTACTGGACTAGTTGTGTAAATGAATACATTTGTTTTGAATGTGCCTGCTGTTTACATGTGCAAAGCAGTCATGTAACCGTTCACCTAGGGGGAGTGCTTAGTGTTTTTGTTTGCTTCTCTTCATTTTGTCCTAAACTCATAATTGTTTTCAAGAGATATAACAAATTGATTTTTAATTCTTGGTGCTATTGCAGCATGTAAATAAATACTAGTTTTAGTTTTGTGGAATTTTAAAAATAAATTATTTTGAATTATCTTAATCGACTTCTAAATTTTATTTATGTTATATTTACAACGCTGTCATATTTGAATTCTACTAGCCTCAATTGTCATGTTTCATTAATGAAGTTTCAGTGACAGAGTTCTTAGGTTCATTTGTACTGAACACAGCATGATTCAGAAGTACTTTATCACATTAGCAGAAACACCTAGTTTCAATGACAACACTGATTATTGTCTTTCTAAGGAGACTGGATAGCTTATCTTGTTCTTATAAGTTACATATTAAAATACTTCCTGAGGCTGTAACTCAATGGAAGAGCACTTACCAAGCATTTATAAGGCCTGAGTTCAATCCTCACCACTGGGGGGAAAAAAACTAAAGTACATAGATAAGGAGATATTGCTGGGGTAAAATGCCTGCACAGTGCTGGGGGCCCAGACTGCATCCCTAACAGAAAAGGGGAAGTGGGGGAGCAGGAGAGAATTGAGAGGAAGGAAAACATAAAGAAAAAGACAGAAATAATGTGATCTTTTGAGAAAGGTTTGTAATAATAATTTTTTTCATAAATATTTTTTCATTAGGTTGTCATGCATACTAATAACACACAGTTTATAATGTTTACTACTGTGATAGTTTTGAAGTTTTAACTTTTAAGTATTCAAAAAAAGCATTTTTACTGACCTGTGTCATAGGGAGGGTGCAAAACAAGCTGTGGTCTTGTAGACTTAAGTGGGTGTTGTCCTGTCCTTCAGGGGGGTTTCTAACCCAGTACTTTTGTTCAGGTAATGATGTATTATTATCTGTGGAGGTGCAGTCAGTTTGTAATACATGCTTTATTTTGCATATACATGTACTTTGAGAAATTCAGAAAAGTTCAAAACATAACCTCTTTTTTAAAAGGAAGAAGCAAAATTGGTATTATGCTATACATACAGAATTTTATCCTGCTGGTTTTTACTCAGAGATGTTGCCGTCTACTGAATTTTGTACTTTTGAACATAACCTTCATTAGTTACACAGTGGCCCAGTATATTGTACACAGAATTTATCTATTTGCTTGTTGTTGAACTCAGCTGTGGCTAAGGTTTGGCTTTTATAGACCAATTAATTTATTACAGACGATCTATGTGTATACGTTTGGAGTTATTACCTAGAATAAATCTCAAACCCCCAGAAGTTTACATTCAAAGTATCAACTGGATATTGAGGTTCAGCAGGATGTGGCCCTTCCATCCTTGTGAGCACCAGTTACAAGTGTTCTCTTTATGAAACTGGGGGAAGATTGGATTGTTTTCATCTTCTTGTCCTTTAATCATTTTTTACACTTTTGGGACACATGCCACAGTGAACATGTGGAGGTCAAAGGACAACTTGCAGAAGGTGCTTGTCCTCATTGTGTGGGTCTGGGGGATTGAACTCAGGTCATCAGAGTTGGCTGGCAGGGCCTTTAC